GCATACAAACTTCCAAATTTTTAATGTTAAAGAGTATATATGAATTAAGCACCATGCTTGGCATGTGGTAGGTATTTGGTATATATTTATGGAAGTGAATTAATCCAGCAACACTCCCACTGAACTGACATCTCAGGAACTCCCCTGGCTCACTTGGGTAGAAAGGCAATCCTCTTTCTCTACCTCACTGTAGCGTTCATTTTGAATCCCTGGCCATTAGATCTGGTTGTGTTTCTTTCTTTCTTTTTTTTTTTCTTTTTGATTTTACATATTTATTTTAGAGAGGAGGGAAGAAAGGGAGAAAGAGAGGGAGAGAAACACTGATGTGTGAGAGGTACATCAATTGGTTGCCCTCTCACACACTCCCAACTGGGGACCTGGAACACAACATAGGCATGTGCCCTGATTGGGAATTGAACCGGCGACCTTTTGATTCCCAAACCAGCACTCAGTCCATTGAGCCGCATCAGTCAGGGCAGAGCTGGTTATGTTTCTAATGATAGTAATATAACAATAGAAAGGATACCATATGGAACAATAGTTACGACAGTAAATTAGCTTTATTCTAAATCCACTACACACTATCTCATGTGCCAGTAGTCTGTAAAATGTAAAAAGCGGTTCTGTGCTAGGACTGGTGCAGCAGATTGAAAAAAAAAAAAATCAGAGCTGACAAGTCAGCACTGGTAAAATTACAATCCAACCAGAATTAAATAAAACATTGAAATTATTTTGTAAAGATTTCTTTTAATAAGAACCTATGTTTAAGGCGTAATAGTAGCCAATTTTCTTCCAAATATCCTAAGAGAACTAAAGTTACTATTAGTATTTTTAAAAAGTCTACTTTAAGTGTGTAAGCTTTAAAAACAGGCCTGCATCTCACTCACTTCCTCTGTCTTTTCAGGTAGAGGGAGCAAATGCCCATAAAGGCTGGCCCTTATCTTGCTCTGTACAGTACCATCAGAACTGCTGGGTGGGCGTGCAGTGTGGCTACCAAACAGTGCCTCCTCTCATGACTTCAGTGCATTGTCTGACATCACCATTCCAGAAAGTTGGTAGCTGCTTGCCCTCTTATTACTGAAATGTTTCCCAGCTTTGCTTCCCACTGCTCAGTTTGTAATCTAGCATCAGTGTACTCCTTTTGACCACATTTTCTCTCCACAAAGTACTGGGTTAGCCAAAAAGTCTGTACGGTTTTCTGCGTAAAATAAAAGACACCTTTTTCATTTTTGCCAATAAATTTACTGATTTGGATATCTTGAATATGTCAGCTATCTCCTGCATGGTATAATGTTGATTGTTCTCAATTAATGTCTCAATTTAATTGTAATCAACTTCAACAGTCTACCCAACCATGGGGCATTGTCCAGAGAGAAATCTTCAGCACAAAACTTCACAAACCACTTCTGACATGTTTGATCAGTCACAGAACCCTCTCCATACACTGCACAAATCTTTTCCTGCGTTTCAGTTGCACTTTTACCCTTCTTGAAATAATAAAGCATTATATGCCAAAAATGTTGTGTATTTTTTCCCATCTTTAATATTAAAATGGCTATATAAAAATTCACCAGTTTTGATGTTTTTTTAAAAAAAATGTGTGCTGATATGACAGCTGTGACAACACAATCTTACAAAATTGTTTTGAATGAAGTTAAAGACAAGTAAGTGCTTCTAGAGCTATCTTACCGAAGAGAAAAAAAAAACCAAACCAATAACTTTTTGGCCAACTCAGTAAACTGTCTATGGAGCTTGAGAAACCAGTACTGAATTAAGATTGCTGAAGTTTAAATGCACCCATTAACTCACTAGGCATTACACTCTATAATGAACTTCTAACAACGTCATCAAGTGTCTTTTTCTTTACTGCCTTGTCCTGCTGGTCTTGATAATGGGCTACAAATGTACTAAAATTAAATGTAAAGTTCCTCCTTTATAAAGCTGGGTTTATCTCCCACCACTTCCCTTAGTATCCACCCCACACACCCAAACACTCACATACTTCACTGCTTAAGCAGCATGATGGCTGCTCATGCAATTAACTCAACATGTTATGTAGTTTCTGTCTGATGAACCTACAATATGGTAGGTATTCTCTACTGATAAAATTCTCTACTGATAAAAGAAATCAAGAAACCATAGTGCTGGGTTTGAGGCATATGCTGTTCAAATTTCAATAAATCAATTCAAATGCATTTGTTTGTAAAACAAGTATTTTACACAATAGTTGGCCTAATAATACAGACAACTTTTGTTAGGATTTTAATTGTTTAAAGCCAATAATTTCATCTCTACCAACATTCTCACCTCTTCAGTCCAGCAACACACAGTAATTTGATGTCTGGGGGGCAATGAAAATATCCTTGGCTTCAGGAAGCCTCAAGTAATACCAAGAAATTTTAACAGCCAAGGACAACGTGGCTAAAAGTTTTAAGCACAGAGTTTCAGGTCACTGCAAGGTGAGGATTAGTCACAAATAGTCTCTTCACACACAGACTAAAGCCACTGAGCAGGGACGTGCTTCATAAATACACATGAATATCAAGAATTTTTCTCCCCATCAAGATGCTCTTTTTTTCCCTTGCTACAGCAATGTAATCAAGACCAGAGACTTGAATCTCTGAAAGGGATACAATCTATGTGTGTTCCTAAATAAATGTAGTTCTAAAAAAAAAAAAAAAAAAAATCACAATAAAACAAATGTATATGCTGAATGTTTCCCTATCTGAAAAAGAAACTCCTTTGATAATAAAAACATAAAACATTTCACAAAATTAAATTATAAAGAAAACTAATATTAAAATTATTTGTTTGCAAGAGGTAGTCTTACTTGGTAAAACAGTGCAGATAATATAGGCACTCAAATTTATCATTATTATTCCACATTTTATTGTGCACATATACAGGCACCTTCATATAGTTAATCCAATTCATAAAACTTGTGACTCATAATCAGAAGTTATTATTCTAACTATAGCAACAAGGAAACATGTTCACAAAGGGGAAGCAATTTGCCCAGGCTTGGTTACTTGGCTCACGATGTACTGTGTTCCTCCAAAGTTTATGATATTTCGTTTCCACACTGACTCCCAAAGCCATTTTTTAATATCCCTCAATTGTTCTATTTACACATTTTCCACCTTGGTTCAACATCTCAGTGTCATGTACTGGCACCACAATCACTGGGTACTCAGGGCAACAAGGAGATGTGGCTCTGGTCTCAGAAGCTTCAGTGTGGCTCAGCAGGAGACTGAGCTGACTCTGAGGGGGACTCCTTCAGCCTTCAGGCAGCTCACCCTTTCGGGGTGCTCCCAAACCAAGCCCAACTTCACCAACCTAGTCAAAGTAGCTACCGTGAGTCATGCAAGCTTTACACAATCTCTTCTCTCTTTTTCAAGAGGTAACAAATTATTGTTTAAAACACTTTCAAATGTCATAAACAGAACAGTTCAAAGAACTGATTAATGAAAAGAAATAACACTTTTCTTCAATGAAACCCATAAGATACGTCCTAGCTAGAACAGCTAATTTTGTGGAACAAGCACACTTCTCAGAAAGTATGTCTGGACTTTCTGTATTCCAGCATTTCTGTGTCAGACCTTGGGACAAAAACTGTTGCCAAGTTGTCTGTCTCCTGGTCAAAATAAATAAACTTTTTAACTCTGCAAACCAAGAATACTCTGTATCTTCCAGCAATTCTATAAAACATTTAGGAACATCCTTAACCCACAAACAGAAACCAAAAGGTAACTGTGTTTCTAAATATGAGGTAAACGTGCTGTTTAATCTACCTGGTTTAGAAAACACACAAACCAAGAGGGGAACAAAGTACTGCAAAAACGTGTTAAATGAAATCGGACTGACTCAGAATCTGTGAAAATCTGAATGAGGTCTGAATAAAGTTCAAATAGTTAAAACTTCCCTGTATTTCCATGTTTAAGACATAATTTTTCCCCCTGAGAAATTCAAATCTCACATATGATGCCTTTAAGCTTCAATTCCTTTACTACCTACATTTCTCCCAACATACAAATATCTATCGGATCAGTTCCTTTCCTCACCAAACCACTAATGCCCAACCAGATAAGCACAACCACTCTCAAGTTCTTTAATCTCTGAGCTGCTGTGGGTTACAAATCCACACTGCCAGACTCCCAGCCAAGGAGCTCAACTAAGATTTAGCCTGAAATTCTAACAGACAACTGTAGTCTTTTAACCCTTACAGTCTTTGAAAGAGATCTACATTTTAATTCATACAGAGAAAAATCAGTTTTATAATTTACTTTATAACTACTTTGTAGGAAAATAATTAACAATTTCCCATGATTAATGTGGTTATTCATAGTAACTGTTACAAATGCAGCTGTATTGTCAAGGAGTTTTTGTATATGTTTTCTAAATTAATATAAAAATTTGGAAAATATACATTTGAAAATTTTTACCAAAAATGTTTTCAGTACTGTTATTGGTCTTACTTTTAATGTAAATTGAATTTTACCGAGCTATATATACTATTAAACCATAGCAAAAAAATTAAAGAGCACAGTCTAATAAAAAAAAGTATGGTTACAATGATTTGAACCAAATAATACCTACATAATTTCCCAATTAATATATAAAGTTATACATAATCACAACCATACCACAAAGTTAGCAGCACCATATAAACTTAAAAGTTGCTATTGTTAAAATGGGCTTTCAACATAATTCTTAATATAAACATTCCATTCCATTTTCTACATTCAGGTACTAAATTACCACAAAGTTAAAACCTTGAGACCAAAAAATTTAATCTACTAAAGTGATTGTAAGCCACAAAATTTTTAAAAGTCATTTTTCCAAACACAGATTGCCAAATAATTTGCACATATAAACAAAAATGCAATTTTAGTGACAGCTACCACTCACTGAAAATTACTACTTGTCATGAGAAATGTCACAAAGGCACAGAAATTTCCTTGTGCACAACAGACACCATGTATTTCAGAACGGCCACTTACCACTTCTTCCAGTGCAGCACTTCGCCCAAAAGAACAAGTGAGGTGTGTGAGGCAGTTCACGAAGGATGAGAAAAGTTCACTTGGAACGGCAGTTAAGACGTTCCGAGGGAACACAGTTATCAGGTTGCTGATAATGCTGGAGATCCCCACAGCTTCAGAATCTTCTATTTCAATTCTACAAACCAGATAACAAGCATTATTGGTGGTGGAAGGCAAGCTACAGTAAATCATTTCCTAACATGCAAAAATTATCACCTATTCATTCATTTTTAAAGACATGTCCCTGTATTAATTTCAAATTACCCATATAACCCAGAATACATAAAGGGGAAAATAATCACTTAGCTTCTTTCTTCGACCACTGTTGAACAAAAAGAAAAACCTGGACGTTCCTTTTTTCATCAACGAAGGGTAAGTATACCTACCCATTGATAGTACTCAGTAAACCCTCAATGAAGTGTGCTAGGTAGTCAACCTGTGCTCCTTCATCGGGGAAGACAGGTCCATGCAGAGAAGCTAACTGGGCGAGGCACTGCAGAGAATCTTGTGCCATATCCGAATCCTCTCTGATTTTTCGATGTACCTGTTAGAAAGAATTACTAATCCATAAAAACAAATTCTTCTTTTGTAAGGGTCACGTGTCTATCATGCCAAATGAGGTAAGAGAAAACTTCAGAGTAGCTAGTTATTCTAGAATATTAATTCCTGAATTAAACTAAATTTGAGAATGTCCCTCAATCCACTTTATATTATAGGCCATGATTTTAAACATATTAATTAATTTTAACTGAGGGCTACCTATATTTTGAAAATTGAACTGTTTCCAGTATGTTATGACAAAGACAGAAACAGATGCCAGCCAGTCAGACATACTGCTTCTTCTAAAAACAGCAACAACGACAGTCATCTGTATTATGCTAGCTATGCCTCGCTACAGCTCCTTGCTAAAGTTAGCAGGCAAGTTCAATCAGGAGTATACAGATGCTGCTTTAGTGGAAGTAAACAGTTGCAAATAGAGAAAACCAATATACTGCTCAATCCCTAGACACTCATTCATTCAACTGATATAAAGCGTTCTCTCAATAACTCTGAGATTGCCTAAAATTTGTTTCAATCTTATTTTATACTACATCATTAATAAATGCTAAAATATTTTAAAATAAAAATGGTATTTAAAGTATATTTAAATCATCTTTAAACTTCATCTGGATTTTATTTCAATGATGCAATATCAATGTGAAACACCTAGTACACGACGTTCCTTATGAAGGAAGTGCTCCCAAAACATTGCTCCCTAACTTTACAGTGTTACTAATATTCTCAGATTTTAAGGATACTTCATTTCTGTGAGCTCACCTAATAAAAACAGCAAAAGAAAAAAGTAAAGAACTTTTGATAGTTATACATTTACTTGCACAGGGGCCATGCTAATCTTCTCTGTATCGTTCCAATTTTAGTATATGTGCTGCTGAAGCAAGCACTACTTGTCACCATTTTCTACTTTTCACAAGCATTTGAGTTCTTCAGCCCTTCTTTTCCTATACAAATCTCTCCGCTTTCTGAATGTAACATAATTTTAAACATTTTTCTATTTGTTCCAAGTTCTGTTTACTTGCAAATCCAAATAGTTACTTATTCTGAAATCAGAATGTTTCTCAAGTATTCACTGATACAGTGCTGGGACAGAGCGAACAGACACTAAAATAATCCTTATTCACCAACTGATTCCATTAGGCTTTAATCCTCAAACTTCATGGGGAGCTAAGAAATTTAAAATACTAAAAAGTCACCAAGTTACCTGATCTAATGACATGTTTAAAGTATGTTACCCTCTTTGGTCTACAACAGCGGTTGGAAAACTACTGCCCACAGATCAAATCTGGCCTCCAGCCCATTTAGTATGGCTGTGGTTTTTACATTTTTATATGGCTGGGGGGGGAAAAATCAAAGAATATTTCAAGACATGTAAAAACTATACAAAATTCACATTTTTATAGCAGTGGAAGTAAAGTCTTACTGGAACAATGCCTGGTTGTGGCGGGGGGCTGGGGAGGTTAGTACTGTCCAGGCTGCTTCTGTGTGACAATGACAGTGGCGGGGCTGAAGAGCCGCCTTCAAGACCGGCACAGCCTAATATTTTCAAGGGCCTTTACAGAAGGAGTTTGTCAATCCCTGGTCCAGAACAACACAAATGGTTTTCAAAATATAGTTTATATTTTAAGTTTTATATAGTAAATTTAAAGTATAATACACAAATTCCTACATCCACATTTTCTAATTGATGAACTTTTAAACATAATTCATTTGGAAGCTCCTTGTCTGAAAACTGTAACTAAATTTCTGTCATCATGCCCTTGCACCTAACCAACATTAGACCTGACATCAACAGATACAGTCTATCAATGGATACAGTGCACTCTGGGACAGTAGTAGGTTTCTTCTCTGCCCAGACAGCCAAATGTTGCTTGTTCCTGGTCTACAAGTAACAAACTACAAGAAAGAATACCTTTTGTGAAAGAACTAACATTTATTATGCAATAAAATAAAAGTAAGAAACTGTCCTCAGAGCCTACCTATGCTAGTCTCTGAAACGAGCCACTCAAAACCCACAATGACCCAACAATTCTTATATAATATAGTAGATTCATGCCCTTTTTCCAATGTCAGTATTAAAAAGTTCTACCATATCTGAACTACATTCTGCACATTGAAAACTGAATTCATCACCCAAACCAGGAAGAAGCAGAGAGATAAGGAAAAGACAAGTCTAGCAGGACACCTAGAATGGTAAATGGTGAGGAAGGATAAGGATGACGACAAGGAGCAGAGAGAACTAGTGAGTGAGGTGATGATTTCTATGGAGCACAATGACCTTGAGATGTCTGTGGACGTTCCAAATCCAAACCTCCAGTAAGCTCTGGGATTATAAGGCCCTGGACTCTGGAGCAGCCTGTGCTGAATATAGACCTAGGAGTCATCAGTGTAGAAGTGGTGCCTGAGGTCCTACGTGGGGAAGGGGCAGCCCAAGGAAAGTGTATGCAGTCAGCAAAGTTGAGAACTGACATAGGAACACTACTATTTATGTAAGAGCAGAGAAAGAAGAAATCCTAAACAAGATCAGAAAGAATCTGACAAAAGAGATAGGAAGAAGAATTAATGAGACAGTTTTTCCAAGAGCTTATGGAGAAAAATGGAGAAGTCTGTGAACCTCAGAAAGGCAAATACATACTTTAGGTTTACTGTATTCCTAAATTCAGATAATCAATGTACCTCATCTTGATGCCATGCAACAGTACATTTATATTTATCTACTCAATACAGAAATAGTGATATCTCATGGAAAACTAGCTTTTAATTAGTTTATAAATCCATATAGTTGAAAATAAACTTAACAAAAACTGAAATTTTAAAGATTAATGGTTGTCATTTTTCTAACAAAATTCAAATTGTTTGTAAACTGCTTAAATGAAAGTAAGAGGCCACAAACACAAAGCTGTTAAAATAACAGTGAAAAAGGGTTAACTTTGAAATTCAAAAGTTATTTACATGTGGTCTTTTGCAGCTGACAGGAGCAGCTGTCTGGTTTGCGGAGACAGCTGTTCAGGTCTGGAGCCGCCATTTCCAGGGCTGCCAGCAAGTTTTCCACCTTTGCACAACCTGCTGAAGTGGGCCTACTTTCAGCCAAATGAGCAACACAAAACAACTGAACTTAGATCCATATCAAAACACTTTCTGCCAGATTAGGCAAGGCAACAAAATTTTTCAATTTAGCTACAACGACCTCTTTAATATTTACAATGTTTTTAGTCATTCTTTCTGATTCAAAGAAAAAATAATAAAGGCAATGCTTACTCTGAACCTGTCCACAGAAAACACCTTAATGTTTATACCCATGGAACGCAGTTGTAACACTAGTAAATAGTATTTTTAAAATATGAAAAAGTAAGAAATTATAATAACTGGTTGGAATTAAGCCAAATTGTCTTTTTTTAATTGTTCTTTATTTGGACCTTTGCCCTAATCATTAGATCTAACTTGTATGTTCACACTGTAACAGCACTCAGCCGCCAACACATACACACACACACACACTCTCTCACTCTCTCTCTCTCTCTCTCTCTCTCTCTCACACTCTCTCTCTCTCCCCCCCCCCACCCCGGCTTCTATTATATTGGGGTTGTGGGCAAACATGGAACATATGCTTACTTCTTTATATTTAGCAAATAAGAAACAGCACTAGTTAAAGTTACAGTTCAAGTAAATTCTATGCAATGATTCTAACTTCACCCACAACTGATAATTCATACCTAAAAAATATACTACTCTAGAACAGCAGTTCTCAAAATGTGGTCCAGGGGTCCCCTAGGGGTTCCTAGACCTGCCTGGTTGTCTTGAAGAGTGAAAATGTTTTCCTATAATACTAAGACAATATCTGTCTTTTCCATCCTTACTGTCACACATGTATACAAGTGGAGTTTCCCCAAGGCTATACGTGGTGTATAATACTGCAACCAACTGAACACAGAAGCAGATGAGGTCAGCTGTTTTTTTTTAAACCTGACATTAAAGAGATTTGCAAAAATGTACAATGCCACTCTTCTCACTAAATTTTTGTTATTTTCAAAAATATAGTTATTTGTTAACTAAAATGTCATGGTTTAGTATTGCTACTTAAAATGAATTAATAAATTATTTTGTGAAGTTCTCAGTTTGAAATTTTAATATGGCAAGTATTAATAGTTATGACCTCCATAAACAAAAGCTCTTTAGAGCCCTCAATAATTTTTAAGAGTGTAAGGGGCCCTGAGACCAAAATGTTCGAGAATGTCAGCTCTAGGATACTAAGCCCTTCATAATTCTAGAAACTTTCATAAATTAGCAAGGACATTTCTATGTAATTCCTGATTGAGCAGATACATTGATTAGAAGAGAAGGCTTTAGAGGACGAAAGCAATCTGTGCACTTTTACCTAAGAAAACTACAGAAGTATGCACTCCTTTAGTGACCCTTCCTGTGGTCTTTGCTACTGAGAGGAAAGGAACAACTTACTGTAAAGAAAAGCTCCATGACTCTGCTGTCCAGAAGAGTCTCCCGCCAGGACTCCGTTGGCTTTAACAGAACATTTTGTGAGGATTCAAACATGGCTATATAATGTCTGCCCAGTTATCTGGTGTCAAGGTCAACAACAATAACATTCTTACTTTGTCTAAAGTATAAATATACCCTAAATATAACAGAAGCCATCCAGAAAGAATGTAATGGAAACAGTTTAAGCCCTTCACATATGCTACATAATTCATGCATGAAGCTTAGGAATAAAAGGCATTAAGTGCTGAAAAAAAGAATGCTATAGGAATGTAAGATAACTGCCATTGTAATGATATGGCACACTGAAGGAATACTGAAACTTTGATGATCAGACATCTTAATGTTGGAGACAGAAGGAAGAACACTGATGCAAAACAGATGCCAAAATATATAACAAACAAGAGAAATCAATTTCTGCATATTTATCCTATCATTTCCCCCAATATCTTGTATTAGCTGAAACCACATATACAAATATGAGTCTCACATAGTCTACTTGGAAAAACAGCATTTCCTCAAAAGAAATATATTCAAGAACAAATATACATTACACTGAAGAAGAAAAACTCCCATCAGAGTAATCAAATATCAATTCCACATATAGAAATGATTAGTTCACATAAAACTCTACAGATGCTCATTTAAAAATCCAGCAGACTAAAATTCAATTTGTATGGTGTTCAGGTGTTCCATATCAAACACACTTCTAACAGAACACTGTCCTTGGCCTATCCGTAACCATAATATATTTGTAAGAGTTTATGAGCATAACTTACTCAATAACACTGACATGGCAACCAAGGTCTTTCAGAATTGGGAGAGCTTTGCGGCCTAAGACAATAACTCTGCCCATCCCACAGCTCATCAAATGACTGGCTGGCAGACATCCACTAGGCTGCATTCCCATCAATTCATGAGAAACTGAAACAAGTTATCCAAAACCACATCTTGCAAAATTTAGATATTAAAGCCCAAATCATTAACAAAACATTAAAGGCAGTGATAAAGCTCTGGAAAGATTTTTTTTTAATTTTACTGCTTCAAAAGACATTTAAATCTTTGATGTTATTTTGTGTCTGAAGAGTAGGAGGGCACTGCTAGTTGTTTCAAAAGAGAGTCTGCTTGCTGGATTCTGAAAAAGCACTCCACTCAACAGAAGAACAAAAGTGAGACTCAAACCAGGTCCATCTCAGTTCCAGTTTTTCTTCCCTCACCTGCCCCCTTGTGGAGGTGCAGGGAGAGTCAAAGCCAAAAGAAACCACTGGAACTCAATAAAGCAAGGCTGAATTTAAAAAGAGAAATCAGCCCATGAATACTGTTTTTGTTTTCAGTGTGCTAATACTTTCTAAAATGATCTCATGTTTTCATGAGATACCTAAGGTTGTTAAAAATGTGACCTTCACTCACACTATAACACCCTGATTAATACTAAGTCTCTAAGTGGTTTTATTTTCCAGCTCCGAACCTGGAAGGTTTCTTTTTTCCTGGCATCAAGTTTGCCTTCCATCAAGAAAGCTCATTTGTAAGGCACCTCACTCACAAAAAGTCATACTGATATTCTTTGAAGAACTACCACCCACCCCTATCACTCAGCCTACCACTATCACTAACAATTCTACATTCTCATAATGAAAATGCACATATTCTAGTTTGCATAAGTTGCAACCATATAACTCAATTACAAATAATATCTCTCTACTAAAAAAACATGTAATTATCCCCAAAAATTTTAATAAAAACAAAAAGAACAGTAGAATAAATGCAACAGAAAATTTAAGAACAATGATACTCCCAACAAGAAATGTATGTTTTAGCCCTGGCTGGTGTGGCTGGAGTGTGGTCCTATAAATTGAAAGGTTGTGGGTTCAACTTCCAGTCAGGGTACATACCTAGGTTGTGGGTTTGGTCCCTGGTTGGGACATATGCAAGAAGCAATTGATTAATGCTGATCTCTCACATCGATATTTCTCTTCCCCTGTCCCTCCCTTCCCCACTCTCTAACATATGAAAACACACAAACCAACAAAAAACAATATGTTTTAGTTTGCAGATTGTGCCAGGAAACTTTTGAAGCTTTTGTCTCTGAAAAGGAGGCCAAGAGGACCCTTCTGTGTTACATCAAATGAGTACTATGAAGGTTCAGGCATTACTTTTCAATTTTATAAACTAGCTAGAAGTATATTACAATGTGAACAGAATACTCAAATATATTCAAAATAATGTAAAGAATTAGAAGAATTCAAATTTTAATATAGTATTATCAATCAATTGACTATTTTTTATTTGTAGAATACCCCAGAATTCTACTCCTCCCCAGATGATTCTTAATGTAGAATATTATTAAAATAAAACAAAAAGCCCTGGCCAAGTAGCTCAGTTGGTGGGGCATCATCCTGTAAATGAAAAGGTTGAGTTCAGTCTCTGGCCAGGGCATGCATGGAAGGCAACCAACGTTTCTCTTTCTCTCTCATCAATAAACATATCCTTGGATGAGGATTAAAAAATAACTTTAAAAAGCTACCATTAAAATTCAGAAATCTAGGACTTTTTCTTTTGGTCAAATGATCTTTAATTGAAGTATTTTCCTTTGTAGTTCTTCACTAGCTGGGCACTGCACTGCACCAGTGTTCATGTCATCCATGATGTCGGGAGGGTACGACCACCAACATCGCAGCCCACAGACTGGGCAGTCCCCAGGGTCTTTTTAATGGCTCCAGAGAGTTCTCTAGCTAAAGACTGGTGCCCCATCTGTTGGATAATATTAACCGCCTCACCAAAAGTGTTATTTCCACCATGTTTAATGGTTTTTTGCTTTTTTCTGTCTTGGGGTGGCTCTTTGAGGGCTTTAATGATCAGGGCAGAGGCAGAAGGCACTACCTCAGTCTGGTCCTGTCTTTTCTGAATGGTCAGTTTCACTGTAATCCTCAGACCCTTCCAATTACTAGTTGCTTTGGCGATGTTACCACAACCTTTTTTGGAGACAGACCCAGGGGGCCGATCTTGGGGGCCTGGATGGACATGGCAGCAACATCCCCACCAGTGTACCTCAGATATACAACTTTGATCTCACTGGGGTCAAACTTTGGGAGCACGGTGGAGGCGGCTGGTGTCAGATAAGCCCTGATTCAGAAAGACCGAAGACAGTTGCACCTAATTCCTGCTCTAAGGTAAAAGCCAAAAGCTAGGACTTCTAGTCTTAAGACAATATTTTTTTAAATGACTTAAAAGTTTGAATAAAGCAATAGTTTCTTTCAAAAACAGCAGTTTTAAATAATAGTTACCTTTTCAAATCTTTCAAAAGTTTTAGTTTACAGTACTACTTTGACATGTCATAATATCTGAACATTATTAGGCTTGATCTTTTTTATCCAAATATGTCACCAATGAAAGAGAAGTCTAACAATGAAGTGATTATTTAGTAATTAATCATTTATTATACATATTATGTGCTTGTCAGATTTTAGGACACTTATGAGTTTCAACAGATTGACACTAGTTAAATAGCGATCATTCACAAAAATTTAAATCAGATTTTAAATCAAGAATTTTCTTGGGCTATGGCTTTACATATTTTTCTAAAAAGAAGAATGAACTCAGATAATTCATATATTATATCAGAATAATTCATTTGTAACCAAATAAAATAAAATTTAACCAGTAAGACAGCTGTACAGAGCTACTTTCAGTCTTTTAACAACCCTAGGCCTTTTTTAAACTTGTCTTCAGCATCTAATCTTACTTCACCCTCTCATGTTTTCATCAAATCCAAACCATGATGAACCTATTCTATTTAGCTCTAAAATGTTCCACTTAGGAAAGCTCATCACCTTCTGCGAAATCAAAGGCATGTAAAATGTAGCAACTGCCCTGCTCTATAGCTGGGACCAGAGACAAGCACACTCAGAGGACAGCTTAATCACACACTGCTACTGACTCACTGGATAAATCATACTGAGTCTCTGTCTCAAACAACAAACCATACTACCATAAGTATATGCCTCTTAGCATGAGGGGGAAATACATCTTTGGAAATATGTGTTCTTATATGTGCAATGAGTTCTTGTTCATTTACAAACACCTTCAGTAAGGGTACCATTTGTGCTGGTGACTGACAGTAAAAAGGCAATTAAGTGAGTCATACAATGTCTACAAACTGTCCTTGTGCACATACAGAGAGTCTGAAATTTTCCATTGCCTACTCTTAGTAAGTACTTCACAATATAGACCTGTGGCAAGAAGAGACATTTTATGAGAGGAATAAATAATTTCTCCAGCATCCCATATTCTTTTTATGCTACCTCATTAGTAAAAACAAAGTTTCAGAAGCGAGTGAAGCCCAGTTTTCTTCCTAAAAACAAAAATTACTATTTCTCTTTTGGCAAAACACAAATGCCATGAGCCCAGTCTTACAGATAGCACTTAGTCCAAATAACCAGAGGTCCTTTGAAATAGAGAGCTGACCTCACCAGGATGTCTTCCCAAGCCTCACCTCCAAATAGTAATGCTGGCTTTATTGAAAATCCTAGTTTAGGTGAAGGTGTTTTTGTCCCACTACTATTTTATAATCCAGTTAGCTTTCCCCAAGAGATTGAGTCAAAAAAATTATTTTTTACCAAAACCAAATCAGATCCACAAAAATAGAATACCAATAAAAGGCAGTGTGACCCAACTAAAAATAGAAGTATTACTGAAGCCAACATACCAAACATACCTGCCAAACATTCTTATTACAAAATGATATTGTCATTTAGGATTAGCATTGCCAAAACCCTTAAGCATTTATGGACACCAGGTGAACCACTAGCTAAACAACATTAGCAGCATAAACAGATATCCAAGAACTAAGATAATACTTCTGAAACCACCTCACTTCAATAATTAAACAGCAGATATTGTTGAGCATCTATCACTCTGTGCTAGACACTGCGCGAGGTGCTAACAATTCAGCGAACAAACCATGACCTGTGGCTTCGTGAGCTCCCAAACCAGGGGGTCAACAGTTATTACTCGAGTCAGCTAACAAATGAAAACTTAGACCTGAGAAGAGAGCCAAATGGAAGTAAAGCATATGTAA